GCACATTCTATCTATATTTTTGGAAATTCTGCGAATATGGAAAGTTGTGCCTTTGAAATTCAAATGTCCCCTTCAAGAAACATGGTACCTCATCAAAGCAAGGTTTTCAAGAATAATGAGTTTTATGCATTCATTTATCTACCTACCAATTTGCTGCAAAAACAAAGCCGCTTACAAACTCACCAGCTTTTACTGGTATTTGTAACGTAGGCAGACCTTATGCCTTTTTAACACATTTGCGAGTTCTCTTCAGAATGATATCTTTTGTAGAGTTTTTCTACCCTCAGTTGAGAATGAGCTCATTGTGAGTTTTTCGGGAGTTAACGAAGGCAGGGCTTATGCCGCCAAAATCGTAGCTTCTGTAGAGGTTCTAGTCAATACAGATTGAGTAAACAGATTATTGTAATTAGCAAATTTTTTGGTGTACATTGAAATTGCCCCTACACAGCTAATTTCCAGGACTTACCTTGGTGTTGGAGGATTTCATTTCCCCCACTTCAAGAAAAATATGAAAAAATATGAGTGAATCTCATGAGCCCTTGATAGAACTTTCTTGAGGGAAAGTGGCACGATCAATTAAATGTTGAAAAGGTACAAATGTACCTGTTATAAGGGGAATTGACTCACCTTTCACGGGTTAACCCGTTCCGCTTAAAGGTCAGAACAGAGGAGGAAGGGGAGTGGGGTCAGGGTCAACCGTCCCTAACACTATTCGAACAAGGGAGCCGCATTTGTGATCTCGGGAACGGGGAGCAAGGATAACTATCTCTGGAAAAGATCAGCTCAGAGATCGTAAAAAGGGTTTTGATGGGTCTGTGACTGGTTTGGCGACAGTCATACAAACTTAGGGTAACTTTGAGAAGATTGGTGGATTCGCTGCTTCACCAATTCCCCCCCCCCCGCTTCGCCATTGTGCTAGGCGGCCGTTTTATAGGAAAAGGAAACAACGGGTGGAGTTGGATGTGTCGTCCGCTCCCAGAATCAGATACTATAGAAACAACCATGACGCTCAGGGTGGTGATCAAGGTAGAAAGTAAGGGTGCCGTATTGGGGGAGACCCCTAAGACTGATGGCAGGTGGGAGTCGCATCGAAAGTTGCCACAAACTTTTGGAAAAGTGAGAACGTGACAACTAACCTTGGTAGAGGGAGGAGAAGTAGGGTCTTGTGAGGAGTAGTACACCAGAGAGTACAGTCGTTTTGTACGGCCAAAAAACGTTGTCACTAATGGGATATGCTGTCTTAGAACACAAATGCGCGCCGTCGGTATCGATACCATTGATCGTTTGACTGATATCAATTTTCTACTTCCGCTTCACTTTCAGCCTCGCTAGAGAGTGGCCGCAAAAATTCTGAACGAGTCGTTTGAATAATATGATAACCTATGAATAATTATCCACATTACTTGGACGTTCAGTATCAAAACGTAACTCTGTCAATAGTTTCTATTTCAGAAGGCTTCAATGCGACAGCAAGAATGTCACACGAAGGCCTCACAAACTGATAAAACCTTTCCCAAAACAAATATTGCTCCACTTGACGAGTATATTGAACGAATGCGACAAGAGGAAGAAGAAGGAGAGTCGAAACAACTGCGAACTTCGCGTGCGGCGAGAACGCCTTGAGCTCCATGAGACGCGTTAACCTGGCGAAAGGTTTTCCTTCCTCCTTCGTTCCAGGGTTTCTTCTTGATGTGATTGTAGAAATCATTTTACTACTTAGATAGATAGGAGTTTGTGACATTCTGTTTTCTCTCACATCTTTGTTTTCTCATACATTTGTTTCCTCTGCAATTTTCGTCTCCATTATGATCTGATGTGTGTTTTCTTTGAGATTGTAATAGCGATTTCTGAAGACCAAAATCGTACACTGTTTACGTCGGAACGGTGGTTTGTGACGCCTTTATGTTCATTCTTAAATTCTTGGCTGCATATATTAATTTTAAGCCGCTCGTCGCGCTCATTTTTGTTTGAACACACTGACGAGCATTTGATCTTGATCTCCTCTGTCATCTTCCGGATGAAGTGTATTAATTAAATGGTGGACCACACATGACACCATGAAGAGAGAAAACTTACACGTCCATATCCGACCGGTTGAGGGGGCGGTCCCACGGACGTACCAGCGCTGCGGCCGCGACAACGCGGGGATGGAAGGTTGCCGTATCCAGTGATTGAGTGGTGTCTGAGCAATCCGTCCTGCCGTCTGCATTCCTCCGCATGCACACTATCTTAGCAGTACGACGTAGCCTTTCCATCTGCGCTCTCGCCACTTTTCCGTCTGCGCTCTCGCCATTTTCTTTCCGTCTGCGCTCTCGCCACGGTCGATCAATCGAAATTATCAGGCATGTTTTGAGCTGAACTGCCGGGCTAACTTGCGGTTAATGTGTCTCAAAGCGCGCAGCGCTCGTTTTTCACAGTTAAGTAAGGGTTTTCCAACTGCTTAAATTGTCTTTCTCTCCTGCATGGATATTATTCAAGTTGTTTTTATGTCAACCATTTCCTCATAAGCAGCAATTATGCTTTGTTTTGTGTTGTTTTTTATTTTATTTTTCTCTTTCTATTTAACTCGTTCTTCATAATAGTGCCTGTTTGTTAGAAGTGTTCCGACAATAATGGAAACACATCAAAGACACCACCATGAAGAACGAGTTAAATTAATTAAATAAGAAAAAATAAAAAACACAAAATAAGAATAATTGCTACTAAATGGGGCAATGGTTGGACATAAAATCAATCAGAAGACATGCAGAAGCAAATTAGCATGTTTAAAACTTACTTACCTGTGAAAAAAGAAGCGCGCAGTTGAGAATATTAACCGAAATTAGCCGGATTCAGCTCAAAACAGCTGATAAATTTCGATGATCGACCGTGGCGAGAGCGCAGACGGAAAAGTGGCGAGAGCGCAGATGGAAAGGCTACGTCGTACTGCTAAGATAGTGTGCATGCGGAGGAATGCAGACGGCAGGACGGATTGCTCAGACACCACTCAATCACTGGGATACGGCAACCTTCCATCCCCGCGTTGTCGCGGCCGCAGCGCTGGTACGTCCGTGGGACCGCCCCCCTCAACCGGTCGGATATGGACTGTATATACATGGAAGAACCCAAATTTTGGCTCGTTATGAGAACGAGCTATTAAGTGAAATTGGGTGCCATAGCAAGATACAGGGGCACTTCGTGGAGAAGTGCACATTCTGATTAGAGACGTGGCATAATATTGCCAAAACCTGGTCAAAGTTTGAGGTGCGCTTGGAAGTGTTTATTCTGACCCAATGAAAGCAATTCCCAGCTTTTCCAAGTAGCTTCAAAACCGTAATTTTCAAATAGCTGTTCATCTTAAGTTTTTGCGATTCCACATGTTGTGATTCGAAAATGTAAGACTGGAAATTATAACCATAGGCTACAGAGGATTTAATCGAGTTTTTAGGAGCTAGCTCACTTGAGAGGGGGAGAGTCGCCGCCGTGGCTCATGACATGTTCGTACTCTCTCAGTAAGGTAGTGTAGACTCACACATACTATTTTTTCTCATGTCCATGCCCTGCTCATCCCCATCTTCAAACTGCCTATACTCCCCCTAACTCACGGACTGCTCGTTTCGCATTGAGAAGCGCTTTTTGGACTCTCCTGCGTTACCTGCCAACAACCCCGTAACCGTTCAAAACTTTCCTTGACGTGAGTGCACACGTTTAACACGTTTACGAAGCGTGTACAGCGGTTCGCGAACTGCTCTTTTACCTTTGAGGAAAGGGAGGAGGGGCTTGAAAAACTGTGTTGTGAGGAAGGTCGTGGTTACTTTTTCTCAAAAATTTAGATTTGTTCTTTTTACGAACCGCAACTGAACGGATGAGTATGAGCAAGTGTTGCATGTGAAGGCTGCGCAAGGTCGGTACAGATGGCTCAAATTCAGACGTCGGACAATAAAGAAGGAGGCAGATCGGCGCGGTGAGCGGAGAAGTCGCGCGATGTAAGGACCTTTCGGTTGGTCTTCGAAAGTTGCTAATCAAGATTGTATTTTTGAGCTGCTTGTAATAAGAGAGCACAATTGCCTCAAGAGAATGGGTTAGGCAGAAAATGGAGTTCTTGAGCAATTTCGACGTCGCGTTTTAGTCAGAGTGGGGAATCTTCAGGAACGGACACAATTACAATGAGCAGCTCGGCCTCACTACTTCTGGTTTACAGTACTGGTCAGTGTTCGATTGAAGCGATACTTTCAGTACATTACTATTTCTCACCTAAGCAACGCCCTTCAAGAATTGATGTACTATGCTTTATGATGTCATCATATCCTTGAGCTTCAAAGGATTACAATCGGAAAAAAAGTTTCGAGATTGCCGTTTTTTCTGACAAAAGGAAAGAGGAGCGCGAAAACCATTTCCGGGGAGCACTTTCGATCGCACTGTAGGTGTACCTGGCTGAGAATATCTTTTAAAGAATCCTCCGGACATTCCACCAGGGTAGAGCGCTGATAGGTAACTCGTATTGTATATTACAACGGTCGAGAGCTCGTTGCTTGGAGGGGTTATATGCGCAATGATCAGCGGGGTATCGAGCTTGAACTGTGGCTCTGGCAAAGGTGAAAAAAGCGAAACGTTCGCCTGGTGAAGATCACCAATCTGGCCTCATAATGGGAAGGAAAGTGTCAATAATTCCAAGCTTCAAAGGATGTCGAACTCATATCTCAAAATGCATAAGAAATTAGTAGCACGGCACACACCATGACAGGGTTGTCAGAGCAAAGGGGTTCAAAATTTGACAGCTCAGACATGCGACAGCTCGACATCACCTATCCACACGACAGGCACAATTAGCTCCCATGATGTCTTCGCTAGTGCATCATCGCAGACAGCAACCGCTGCGAAAAATGGTGTGGAATGGGGCTTGTTAGCTTTGAATGAACATGTTTTATGATTATGTTTCCAATGTCGATTTGTGCCTTTCTAGCCGCATGAGTTTCCCATGACCACTCCAACTTATTTCCGGAAGTTTTGCCCTTCTTGTTACAATCTTTTTGCAGTCTTGGTATCGACAGTAGCCTCAGTAGTATTCGGTAGCCTGACTTCTCTACCTCGTGTCGAACTCAGCTAGCAAATTTCGTAGCTTGTCTATCCTTTCCGAGGCAGTGCCAACTGCCTTGAGAAGACCTTAAGTGTAACTGCAATCTGCCATAGGATTCATTGGGATTCTCCTCAATTAGCTGAAGTATATTTCGATTAATGAATAAGCTAATTCTCGACACTGTAGAAAAGAAGCACTACTCTCATGACGTCACCTCTGTGCTGACATGAATTATCGGCACTTTCTCGACAAGCTCTTTATCATTCCGTCCTAATTCAGCAGCTCTATGGTCATGACAAGCCTGCATTGTTTTTACATATAGGTGGGGACGATTTCAATTTTTCAAAAGACTAGCAAAACTAAAAGAATCAATCAGAGCATTTGTCAAGGACCAGCAGCATCCAAGCTCCACCTCAGGGTCTCAAGGAAAGAAACGTGGGCAACCCAGATGAGGTAAGTTGGCTACTTTTGGTGCAGCTTCCGCTCAAAAAAATGAAACGAACAAAGTTCAGATAAGTGTTAGTCACTCCTACAACAGACCACAACAGGGTCAAGCAAGGAGTCGAGAAATATTTCGAAATATGTCCCGCCCGCCCTCTCTCCCAGAAGGTGAAGTCTATGAACCACCCTCTTCCAACCCGAACTATGAAAAGGTCGTTCCCCAAAACTGCTCATAAAAAAGCCCTGCTACCCCACCGTCCACCAAAAAATCGTTTAAGAAGTACAAAAGTGAAAAGTCAAAGAATGATCATTATTGATGAGTCCTACCAAACGAGCAAACGAGAAACGGAGCAAAAAACGACAAACTAGTCACTAAAAATGGCATACTATGACAACATCTCTTCTTTATTTATTTCCTTCAAGACTTACCAAATTCTAGTACTACACAGATATGGTTCTCAATTTACACGTCCCCCTTTCAGTTGAAAGAAGCCTTGTAACCGCCTTAGCCAGCTGTGTGTTGACTGGACTTTGGCGTTGACCGTGGAGCAGCTTATTTACTATTGAAATTTGAACAAATATTCAAATGATTATAACTTTCTTCAAATATGACGAATTTTCAATCTGAAAGCAGATTTGGGAGTTTTGTGAAGAGCTCTTTCTAATCAGTACTTGAAATTACAAAAAGTTATAAGAAATAACAAATTTAGATCAATTAACGAGGAAAATTCGAGATGAGCACGAGTTTTTACACTTTCCGAAGCATAACTTGCTTCATTTTCGTCAAATTAATATGGCAGACAAAACTAGAAGATTTTCTCTATTTAAGGTTCTAAATACGTTCACTATTTAAAAAATGGCCACGTTGAGGATTTTTGCCCGAGTACCGCCGAAAGGTACTTTTTCGCTGCATTAGCACTATTTCCAACGACTATAGCTCCTTGAGGGAAACACTCTACAAAAGTGGGAGCAGATTCGGAATCCTCGTGCTGTTTCTCTTCCCAATAAATGAAAAAAAATTATTAGGCTAATCCTAACTTTAACCCATTGCGGACCGCGTGCTGCACCATGTGCAGCACGCCACCACGCGGAGAAGGATAGTAATCTTCGATTTTTTCAGCATTTTTTTAAGTTACAAACTCATCAGTTTACTTTTTTGGACACAGGATATATCAATATTTGCATACTGGTTAAATTTTCGATAGATTATTGGCCACTGATAAAAGAGATGACAAAAACCTACGGAGGTGCAATTATAACGGCGGTCCGCAATGGGTTAACTTTTGTATATTCGTGAATTTGACGCTGAAGGCTGCATTTCTTGTTGAATAGTGTACTCCTCCTGTAATTTCACATGAACCCTTTCAGAATCCTCTTGATTTTCCTGAATTGAGATTCTTTCTCCAGAGAGCCGTAGTTGAAGCGCGCGCAACCAACTGGGCCCACTCTGGGATGCGCCGTGTGCTTCACATCCCTTCAGATTCGAGGACTCACTTGAAAGATAAATATCCCTTGGAAAGCGTGCGAATTTCGGATTCTTTAACTTGTGTGGTGATAAAACACTGAAGTAACTAAGAATTACCGCGGACGCCTCAGAATCACGAAAATTTTGTGTGGGTGGAATATCATTGTTATTGGAAATCCTCTGGCCTGGCATCGACTCGATCCTTGATGTTTGTCCTCCGACGGTGATGATCCTACTGCATCAATCCGGCCCGATCTCTTCCTCCCAGCGGGCCAATACGACCCCCTCCCCCCCCCCATCGACGTGTCGAGGATTCCTTGCACGCTTGACCCTGGTTCCCCAGAGACCCTTCGCGCGGCAAAGGGACGAATCATACTGTAGCAGTTAGGCGTCAATTTCAGTAGAACGGATTACAGTACGTGCAACACTTTTGAGCCCACGGCGTGGGCTCAAAATTCGATATCTCCTTATACACGCCGCTTTTTCTTGTTTGTTTTTTTACGGTA